CAGCATTGCCCTGGTTGCCAGGGCTACTACGGCTTGAATTTGTGGTGCGTTCTTCTGAGTGGAAAATGTGGGTTTGAGGTTTTCCGATGTGCGCAAAACTGTTACTTCTATAATGGTTTGCATATCACCTGGTGCGAACTTGCACTGGATTGCACTACTGAGTAGTTTCTTGGCAAACCAAGTCCTCTGCCTTTCTGTACTGATGCCTGGTCCTGAGCATGCCAGTCTCACTGCAATGCATGGCCACTCCAGTCCACGGCTGGACAAACATTAAACTAACACACAGCTTAGAAAGGATAAGCGCTCCCAGGCAGAAGTAGTGCTGGCTGAGAAAATTATCCTTGCAACAGTACCATTAGCACTGTATTTGTCTTCAGAAAAGCATGAGCTGGGAGGGTACTGCTGCAGGAAGCTTACCCCACAACAGTGTGTACAGTACTTCATGCCATGATAGTAATGCTTGGACGCTTGGGTGAATCAGTGGTTGATACTGTTGGGCTATTTTGCAGCAAGAAAATAGCTGCAAGCAGTGCAGGCAGGAGTGATGTGTTTAGTGGGTGAAGCACAACAAAATGAGCATTAGGGTTGCAGCAAAAGGTGAAGGCTTCTTTTCCATGCTCTGAGCTCAGTGGCAGGCCAAGCTGCAGAGTGCTGTGGTCCTGTTCCCAGCTACTTACTCACTCGTCACGTGTTCTGTTCACCATTAGTTCAGTTTACTATTTTTTTTATTTTTTTACTTCTGACAAAACAGCATATGATTGTGAAATATTTTTCATGTTACGCATATTCCCCTTCAGACCAATCCCAGTTTCTTTTTTCCATATTTCTGAAACAGGAAGCAATGTCCTGCAAAACAGTATTGCAGCTTTCCATAAAACTTGTCCTTAATAGCCCGTACTTACTTTGACTTCCTGTCTGCCGTTTTCATTGGAATCTGTCTTTTGTCATGGAGTCACAGAATGTCTTAGATTGGAAGGGACCTTAAAGATCACCCGATATAGTAATAACCTAAAAAAAGTCATCAGTCTGAGAGATTAAGTCGTGCACAGTGTACAGTCTCCGATGATGAAGAACTTAAACCACTGAGCAAACATCAGAGCATGGCGGTAGTGGGACAGTGGCAGATGGCTGTAATAGGTTCAGGAATGTCACACTGCAAGTAGACCTCTATTTGGAGACATGGCTATTAATGTTAATGCAGACTGTAATGTGTTGATCGTACTTCCAGTAGTGGCAGTAGTTAACTAGTTGAGTTCACACAAGACAAGCCAGCTAGCAACAAGGCTGTTAAATGTGTGACACCATCCAGCAGCCCCCATCCAGCCTGTAGATGACTCAGCAGCGTGGTGCTACATTCGGGGTGGTTCTGTCTGCTTACATTCCTGTTTTCAGGCACACAGAGCAACTGTGGTCAGCAATGTAGTTGTGAATGCTGTTTTTCTTGCTCTAAAGCGTGATAGACTATTTATGTGCATGTGTATATATGTATGGATGCATGAATGTGTGGCTGCATGCAAATACAGTTTGTACAGATAATTATGCCATTATGAAAGAGTGTCCATTTAGATGACAAACACCTTTAGACTTCTCATAGTCTGCAAACTAAAGAGGACAATGTATATAATAACTTTTCTTCATCGCTGCTATAACACTACTTTTAAGCTTGGTAATCGGAACATAAATGTGGTTTGACTGAAAGTGCTGTGCATAAACAAAAGTCAAGGTCAACATTTTTGTCCTCTACCAGAACATTATGTGACCTCTCTCAGCCCTCCTCCACCTTCAGTTAGCAACAGCAAAGGCAGAAGCCCCCTCCTTCACCAGAAATGCAACTGGATAGACGAAGGCTATTGGGACACACAGCCACCCAGGTGCAGCACAGCATCCCTGCGGGAAGAACAGGTGTGCTGCATCTCATGAGAATGAGCAGGGCACATTTCCTTTTCTATCAACAGAAATTTCTTGTTTGCCTGAGGTTTCTATATAAGCTGCCACAAGTGCAGAGGGAAATACTGCAGAATACTTTTATAATTTCTGACATCTCATTTCACAGGCAGCTGTGGAAAATATATGTGAAGGAGCATCATCTCCAGCCAACACAGCAAAGAATTTACAAAATACTTGCAGGAAGCAAAACAAATAAACAAAAAAAAGATATTTAGTAGGGTTGGCACTTTTGTGCTTTCTAACCAGCATCAGACTGTTCCTGCAAGGCCCTTGGGGTCAGTCACAAAAATGACCAACTTTTGTCATGCTGAAAGAACCCGGGCCACTTTGAGCTGCTTGCAGTATGGTAGCTCAAGGCACACGAAACTGAAGGCTCATGTTGTGGATGTCCCTTATGAAGGCAGAGCAAAGGCACATGGAGGAGCTATTTTTCTTCCTTTTCTGATTGTTGCCTGGTTCTAGTGATTCTGGATTCAAGGTTTCTGTTGAAATTCTGTCTCAAGGTTAATATTTTATTGCATAAATATTTTATTGCATTCAGTCTAAATTAACTATTTCAGTGTTGTTTTGCTGTAAGTGGATATTGTTTAATGTTTAGTCATTGGTCTTTTGTTTTACCTGGGAATCACAAGAATATTGGTTAATGCATTATATCATAGACTTGTACAAAAACACTGAGAGGTAGATATGTATACGCATGTATATATAAATACACTAGGTATATGTGCAGGTACAAACACATATTTTGTATAAATACACTATTTAAAATATTCCAGTGCTGTTTATTTATTTTTTTCTTTTGGAATATACTTTTATCTGCCTTGGTCTTTTCGAGCTCTAATTCTGTACGGATCTGTGCACAGGAAGGTGAGAAAAAGAAAACAAAACAAAACAGAAAAAAGAGTTACAATACACTGTGATGTGGTGGCACTTAAAACCTCATCTTCATTAACCTTGGATGGCCCACGGGAAGTCACTCAACATTTATGATTTACTGCATCTTTGCAAACCAATGCAAACAACACTGGAGCTTGTTTTACAGGATGTGCAGAAACCTGCAGCTATTTTTCATAATCCTTCCTCTGTTAAATCTCTGCAAATGTTAATAAGCTCATAATGAATTTCATTTGGAGGTATTTTTTATTACAAAACTGATAGTAATCTGTCCCCTGTAGAATAAAGCATCCACCCTTTCCCAAAACTGTAAGTATTGAAACCAAACTGATGAAAACTTAACTAAGGGGACCATTGCCTAACCATGATTTTTGGAGACTGGTATAGAGTGGTGCTGGATGGAATTCCTGTACTCTCAAGGGAAAAACATTATTTCAGTGTCAAATGGAAACTGATCTTCATGGAGCACATGTCCAGGAAGTATATGAAAGTTTAAATCTCTCACATGGGTTTTACATTTGCAACATAAGGAATTGACACAACAGAAAGAGTTTGTTAAATTCTACCTGTTGAAACTGTAAACTGTGCTTAGTTGGTGTGTATTTCACTCTACTAGCATGTTTTTTACTGATTGTATACTGATTTTTAGACCTAGTGTATGAAGACTTTAAAATTTCTGAATGCACAGATTTTCTTCATCCTAGCTCACATAGTGCTATCTAGAGGCTTATTTAGCTTGTTATGAAGCTGTTATTTGAGAATCTGAGACAAAGGTTATTGTCATTTCCTTATGTATCAATACTGCATAGAGCAGAGTTCCTCCAGGTTTATAGAAGATCAGAAATGTCAGACATAAATTTTGCTGTAATTTTGTTTTATACTTTATATATTGTTATATACTTTATACTGAAGAGAATATACTTCATCCCAGGGAGGTCTTTTTAGATAAAACCAGCAGACAGAAATGAGCTGCAGGTTAGCCGCTCCTACATAGCTGCAATGTTTGACATTCATTAGGGTAACGCCCACCTCAACATACTATACTTCCTTTTGGATCTCACTTTATGGATATCAAATAACCTTGTACCCTTCTTATCTATATCCAGTCCAGAGAAATGCCTGTAATTTGCTAAAGCTGTATTTATACTGAAACAAATAAATGACTTGAAGCACACATTCCTAAACTGTTCTCCATCCAACAGTCACAACTATCTTAGGAATACAGCAATCTTATCTTAGCTGCCTTAAATCTCTGCCATGTCTCAAAACTGACAGCACTGTTGGGCCTCACCAGTAGAAACTGGCTGTGGAGAAAAGAAACCTTCAATAAATCTGTATTTATCTGTATATATCAATTAAATTCAGCTTCAAAAATTATTTAATTTCAAATTTATTTTTTTGAATTAAGTCCCAGATCAATATTTTGTGGTTTTTAAAACTATAGAAATAAAGGAAGGCTATAGATTAAACACCTGTTTTGTCTTGGTGGTGTAAGGGTCAAGACTTCTGTCTGTGCAAAGCAGATTTCCATTTAGCAGTAGGATGCAGTCCAGCAGGAAGTCTTCAATCCACACTAAGCAAACAAAGGATATATAATTTATATGACGAAAGAGAACATGTTTACAATGTTTAGAAAAATACAGGTATCAATGCATACAGAAATAAATATTCCTTTTTTAATAATAAAGGTTTGAAACACAGCTTTGTATTGCCAGAATGTTAACAGACTATTTGCCCTTACCAACAAATAGAATTTCTGTAACTGAAAAACTTTCCAATTTCCATTTACCAAATGCTTTGTGAACAGAAGTAGTAGAAGAAGAAATTAAATATACTTTGTGTGTCTTCATTAGTGCTGGTGTGTTAAAGCAGGGTGGGGACTGCAGGCACCCAATGAAAAAAAATAAGTCCTGCAATGGCCATAAGAAGGCAATGTCTGGAGTTCAGAGGAAAAGAACAGAAAGAAAACTGACAAGAGTCTCTTGGTAAACTAGAGGAAGAGGGGGGAGGCTAAGCAAACAACTTGTTTGACTTGTTTTATACTTCTGTACTTTTTTTAAACTGTTGCAGATGAAAATTCAATTATACATGAAATTTTAAATTTCATTAATTTATGACTCATGAACTTGCAGTACTACTCTTACGGAAGTTATGTTAATAATATATATATATATGTGGCAAAAAATTAGTTAGATCTTGGTAGAACTTTCAGCACCTTTTTATCCACAGGCATATCACAGTAACTGGAGACCTTTGGAGTTTGAGTATGGTAAAGAAACACGAACCTGTGATTCTGCATTCCAATTTGTCTGCCAGTATGTTGGATTAAGTATAAATGTACCCACAAAGTGCATATCTAAATGACTGTTTAAAACATAAAGCCAGTGATTTTAAATACTTGCTTCCACTGCACATGTGTTCCTGCAGCTGCTGCTGTTGCTCCAGCTGATATACACTGAACAAGCAATTTTTGGACTACCCATCATCTTCTGTGTTCATGATCAGCCCTTGGCAGACCTCCCAGAGCCATGTAAAATTTCAGCATGTATCTGTGGGTTTGCTCACTTGCAAGAGAAACGCAGATGCTATGAAGGAATTGTTAGAAAATGCAACAGAAAAAAACCAACAACGTGACTTAGAAACTTTATCAATCTCCAGAACACTGCAGGTGTATGCAGATGCTGCAAGATCTGGATTAAGGCTCCGTGCTCCTTTCTGCAACTATCCCATGCTGAAGGGCATCCACCACGCCCTCTGAGCTAGGCAGGGCTGTCATGTTATGCACAGACTGATGCAGGTTGAATTCTTCCAGAATATGTCCTTCTGTGTAGGTATGTATGGCAGACCTGAATGGGATTTCTGAGGGTCATTTCAAACATCATGTCTGATGCCTAACTTCCCAACAGAAAGCTTAAAATTGACCTTGTGCTGGATCAGCAGAACCCTCAACACCCTGCAGGACACTGATCAGCAAGAAGCTTTTCCTGTATTACTGCCTCATTTCTGGGTGACTCCAGGATTTCAGTCACTGACGGCTTTGGTTGCTGTCACAAGGCATGTAGCAATAGAAGGGGTGAAGCACACAAAGTTGCCTGCGTGGAGTGCTGTGTCAGACAGGCCTTCTGCCTGCAGCTGAAAAACTCCGTGCTGTTCTTCCCGTCACAGTGAACTCATGTGCTTAAAATTTTAGACAGAGTGGAAAGCAAAACCCATACTTGCTATTGAATCACTTCAAAGGCCACTGATGAGTGCATGGAGTGCAGGAAGAGCAGGCAATGCCTCAGGCAGGGGATGTGCCCTACCCACGCTGCTTCTCACCTGGAGGCTGAAGCCATGCCGAGGCCTCGCATGCGCCCGCCCATCCAACAGAACTGACTGGGGCTGCTTCCCAGCGGCCGGCTTTGATCTGTGTCTGGGACGGACTTTTGTCCTCACGCTTCAGGGAGTGTGGCTGGTAAGGGAGAGAGCACTCCCTGAAAACTTCTTGTTCCTCCTGTTGGTGTTTGTGACCTCAGCACACACATACGTGTCCAGAAACCACTGCTGCTCTTATTACCCTTATTATAGAGAATAACTATTTTGATCAGTTACTCAGTCATGATTCAACTTCCAACAGCTTTGTGTGACCGCGACAACCTCTGCCGTATTTTGGAACAGCTGTCAGTACTGTTGTCAGTCAGGAGCTCAGTTCTGTGAGGACTCTGAGGGCTGGGGTACTGGGAAAGCTTTCTGACCAAGTACGCAGTGAGCGCCACTGACGGAGCCTCAGTGCTGCGGGACACGTCTCAGTCCCAGGCTGAGGCCACGGGACGAGCAGCCTTACGCTCAGGACTGTCGGAATCCACAAGCCTTGCCAAGAGAATGCGAGAAAAGGCCTTTCACGGGGGGAGAAAGCAGTAAAACTGTCAGTAACTCCACTTGAAAGTTGGAAAGTGTCGACACTTCCCCCTCCCGCCCCCAAGCCTTAACAACAACCACACAACGCAAGCCGCTCCCGCGTTGGAGGAGCGAGCTGGGACGCCCTGCCCTGGCCCCCCCGGCCCCCCCGGCAGGAAGAGGAGGGACTGGGCGCGCGGCTCGGCAGCGCTCTCTGCTCCGCGCCGCAACCGGTCGCCCCCCGCCCGCAGCGGCACCGTGCGCCATGTCCCAGCCGGGCTCGGGGCCCCCCGGCCCCGCCGCGGTAAGGTGGGCGGGGAGCGGCGCGAACGCGGGGCGAGGCGGGCGGGGGGCACGGCGACCGCACTGATGGACCCCGACACCCCCCTATTCACCCCCCACCGACCACGAACCCCCGCCCGGTCCGCGGACCCGCCGGCACCGCCCTACTGCGGAGTTCGGTGGCGGCTGGGGCGCGGCCGTGGCCGCTCCCGCGGCGGGTGCCGCCCCCGGAGGGAGGTGGCTGCTAGGGCGCGGCCCGTACGTCTGTGTGCCGTGCCGTGCCGTGCCGTGCGGAGCAACGAGCAGCGAGCAGCGCCATGGCTTTCGCGCGCTGGTGGTATGCCATGGTAAATGCGGGGGGGGCTGCTGCGGCCTGCGGAGGGCTCCGCACAGCGGCTGTGAGCGGGGCCGCCCGTCCGTGGCACGAATGAGCGGGGAGGAGGGAGTGACGGGCGGCAGATGGGCGCTGTTCACGTGCTCGTGTTGTTGTGCGTCAGGTGCTGTGAAAACCTGGCGTTTACTGGATGTAGTTCCGAAATTCTGCCATGAACTTTGTCTAAGCAGTGCTGGAACGTGGGCTCGTTCGTGCTGACGGCTGTTTTTTGTGGTGCGCTGAATAATGCGAGCTCTCGAAGCGACTAAACTGTGCCACTCGATCAAAACTCAGCAGTTAAGTGATTTGCAGCATAAGGCAGAGCTTGCGTGGGTTTGTTTCTGCTTTGGGTAAAAATCCTGCAGTGTGTCTTTTTTTGGAAACCTGTGCTTAGCTGCAGGTAGGTCATGGAGCTGCCAGGAATAATTTTGTCTTGCTGAACAGTCTCTGAGCAAACCTCAGCCCTCGTGGCTCTCTGTGGTTCAGCTCAGCTTGGTCAGTGCTCATTAGTCTGACAGGGCCTGTAATTGCTTACAAGTTGTCTGAATTATTAGTCATAGCAGGAAGCAGTTGGTCTTTCAGAGGAGTGTTGAGAAGGAGCCTGCCCTCTGTTAAAGTTTTAGAGAAACTATATGCAATGAAAGGTGTCAGGGAGCCTACAGAGGGGAGTGGAATCAACTCTTTGAAAGGATAGATAACAGCAGGATGAGGGGAAATGGTTTTAAGTTGAGGGAGGGAAGATTTAGGTTGGATGTCAGGGGGAGTTCTTTACAGAGAGGGTGGTGAGGTACTGGAACAGGCTGCCCAGAGAGGTTGTGGATTCCCCATCCCTGGAGGTGTTCAAGGCCAGATTGGAGGGGCCCTGGGCAGCCTGGTGTAGCATTAAATGAGGAGGTTGTTGGCCCTGCATGTGGCAGGGTGGTTGGAGATTCATGATCCTTGAGGTCCCTTCCAATCCTGGCCATTCTGTGTGATTCCGTGTCTTTCAGAGAAAACATCGATTTAATATATTTCCTGAATAATGGTTGAGGTAAATGGGATCCCCCTAATTTCTAATAGCACTTTTCCATTGCTCAGAGTAGCTTGGGTAATGGATTGGTGATGTTTCTGAGTGTTACTTGTTATAATAAGTCAGTGACACAGCATGATGATGATAACACAGAATCAGAAATAGGAAAGTTTGAGAACTGATGGACTAAGTGATGATGGCTCTGTAGTCCTGGATCACTGAATCCAGGTTGAAAAAGGTACAAGGGCCACCTCATTGCCCACATTCACAGAGGGAAACCACATCTCTCGAGCTCTGAAAGCAGTCTGTGTAGTTACTGGCACCAGTGCATCTTCACTGGCCTTTGTGTGAGACCAATGTCCTCCCTGTCCATATGAGCACCTGTCACTTAGTGGGGTAGTTTCTTCCTGGAGGGCTTTGTGGTCTAGTAAACGAGGGAGTGCAGCAGGAGAGAAGGAAGAGAGAGGAACAGACAAGAGAGATTCGATGGTTGTTCTGTTAGGTGTTGGTTTGGTTGTTTGTTGTTTGTTTTTTTTTTTTCCTAGGAGATGTGTGGAAAGCATAATGATCTTACAGCCCTTTGCATTATGTGCAAAGGGCTGTATGAAGAATCTGGCTTTCACCTATGCTTTTTGTACACTTAATTGATGCATCTTTCATCTGGCAGTTCTTTGAGCAGCATCAAAGATCTCTGTCTTTTTCCCAGTTTCAACTGAAAAGTGATGGTCAGATTCCTGTCAGCACAGAATGATTGTTTTCAGCAGCAGCAGCAAAGCAGAGTTAGTTGACTCCAACTGAGAGTGTTGCAGGCAGAGTTCCCATCTTACCCAGTTACTGAATGTCATTGCTGACCTCTGAGGTGCAGTGCATTGTCTTTGAATTGAGGGCTTACTGGTGCTAATGGAACTCCTGAGGTTTAGGTCTTGGAGCAGGACCTTTCGTTGAGGTCTGATTTTTACCACTGTAAGCTGGGGATGCAGTTTTACATTCTGTTATTAGTATTTTGCACAGCGTTTGAATTTGAAGGTAAATGTGCTGAGGCAGTAGTGTGTCAAGATTTTTTTTGCATGCAGAACAAGATGAAGATCTCAGGATAAACTTTGTTGTTGATGATACTTCTTTGTTGTTTTTTCTTTTTTTTTTCTTTTCTCAGATGTTGTCATTATGAGTGGTTTCGCTTGTTTTGTCCTTAGTGAAACATATTTGGAGCCAATTTATTTTTCCAACAGCTATAGGAAAGTGTTGCAAATAAGTTACATTTTAAGTTTAACTCACTAAAAGTGTATGCTGGCTCTTTTTGTGACAGAGTTGGAGCTGCTTCTGCCATCAGTATTTGTATGTTGTTACCACATACATACATTTCTTTGACATTGTAAGAAAAGTGAGCAAGAAAAAAGGGTAGAATGCCCAAAGCAAAAGCAGCCTGTCTCACCCACATGGGGACATGAAAGAACAAGGCATGCATACCATCCCAGGAAAGCTTAGGTGAGCAAAAGGGAGCTGATGGAGGTCATATTTAAAATAGGATCCCCTCTCATATCTTAAACATAAGCTTTTCATGGAACCAGTGTGATCTTTGTAGAAGGTGTATTAGAAAGTTGTGCTTTCCTAGTTTACCTCCTCAGGGTGGCAGACTTTGTGACATAATGCCTTTGCAGACTGTTTTATTATTTGAGGCCAGAGAGCATCAGTGCTTAATGTGTACGCAGTATGCGACTCCAAGTGACTGGATAAAAATCACTTTGGTGGGGACTTACATGCTTGTTGCAAGTGTTATCTGAATTTTAAATTGGAGTCTCATTATTGTAGATGCTGTTTGACACAGCTTTCTGTGGGTGGTGGGAAGGCTTCAGGTGCCTAACCCCTGCCTGACTTGAGTTTAGGTGTGGCAGAGCTGGAGTACTTGGTCTCCCCAGGGTGGTTCAGGGTTGTGCAGTTGGTCTCCTTGAGGGACGGTTGAGAGAATGCTGCCAGCCCACTTGTCCTGCCTTTCCCTCTAATTCCCAGGCTCTCTCTGGGAACCTCAGATTACTGTACATGACAGTAATCTGAGCCTGGTCGAGGAGTGGAAGAAGAACCTTGACACTTCAGTTGGGATGCTCTTCATTTTAGCCAACTGCTGGGACACAGTCCTGGGACTGGGAGCTCTCTTGATGTTATGATGCTGTCTGGCTTGGGTTTTCTTGGAAGGAAAGAAGATGTGGAGATAGGGAAGAAAGCTAGTGCCTGGTTTGGCACCGACAGAAGTCTTGTGTACACAGTAGGATCTGTGTAGGGTTCCTGCTTTCTGTGACTTGCAAAGGAAAAAGAGAATCATTCTGGACTTAGTTGGTGTTACTGCCCAAACCTGAGAGAGCAAACCAACGAGATGGACAACGTACATGCAATATACAGGAAGATGTGCTTGCTTTGTTAACCCACTTCCATTATGATAATTAATATTCACTTGGGAAGCCAATAAAGCCTTTCATTCTATGTGGTATGCATTTGCAATTGTCCATAAGTTGTCTGTGTTGATAACAGTAAGAGATGTAGCTAGATTCAGGGTAGCACTCAGCTTTTCGAGAATTGTGCTGCAACAAAGATGGCAAGGTGTGTGAGGAGCGGCTGAGGTCCCTGGGTGTGCTCAGTGCAGAGCAGAGGAGCTGAGGGCAGCCCTCATGGCGGCTGCAGCTCCTGACAGGGAGCGGAGGGCAGTGCTGAGCTCTGCTCTGTGTGACAGCCACAGGGCCCGAGGGAACGGCATGGAGCTGCGTCAGGGGAGGGCAGCTGGGGGTCAGGGAAAGGGTCTGCACCACAGGGCGGTGGCCATGGAACAGCATGCACAGGGCGGGGGGCACGGCCCCAGTGCTGGAGTTCAATGAATGTTTGGACACTGCTCTCAGGTGCAAGGTTTGGGTTTGGATGGTTTTTTGTGAAGCCAAGAGTAGGACTTGACCCTTGTGGGTCTCTTCCACTTTGAGATATTGTATGAATAGGAAGCTGTGATCCAGATAATGAGAGTGTCGATGTAGGATCAGAGCCCAGTCTACATAAAATAATTTTGCTGAACAGCAGCCACAGGTCCTGAACCTTTTAGCTGTGCTGGAATCACCATTTGTCAGTGAAAGCAGATCTATTGATGTTGCTTTTACTGGTATGCATACGGTGTGTGTTTGCAGTAGTAATAAAAACTACAGATAACTGGGTTAATTATGTCCTTACTGGAAGTGATATTGTGGGGCATTGAATCAATTGATATAAATCTTACCTGAAAAGACAGACTATCTGATTTAGTTTTCTACTGAAAAGTCAAAATTGGAATATGAGAACAGTATTTCCAAATTCTAAAACATTTAAAATGCCTTAGTGATGCCCCTACTGATTTTAAAATCTTTAATTATTAGAAGTTGTTTAAAACAACCTGTGAAATATTTGTCCGGTACTACCACAGTGGTAATGGAAAAGAGACATGTCTTTTTTTTAATTTTTAATTTTTGTTCTACTTGTTCACTCAACTATTGTGTCCCCAGCCTGTCTGTTGCTGTGCTTGAGCTACATTCCAGCTGAAGGTAGTCTAGTGATACATGGCTTATTAGTTTCTAGTTATAGCCATGCAAAAAAATTGCTGTAGGAACTCATTACTTGAGTGGTTTAGCAAATTTCTCCTGCTGCTCAGTCTTCAAAACAGAAAAGAATGGATGGTTCTAAACTCAGCCCCTCTTTTTACTGAGCAACACCAAATAGTTTTGAATCCTCATTCTCTGATGTCTGAGTTGCCTGGGATACTAGCTGAGATAGTAGATAATGGCTTTATTATGTTGCTTTTTTTATTCATGGGGAAAATTACTTGCTTTTAGCATTTTATTTTATTTTTTTTTAAGATTAAACGGTGTGCTGATGGAAAAGATTTTTTTGAGGGACCACACTCTCTGTTATCAGAGATGCAAAATAAAGCCTATGCTGAATACAGTGCACTTGCAGAATATTCTGTATGTTGCCGCAGATGGAGAACAAGTAGGACTAATGACACATTAGGTTAAGTGGAAGGAAGTTTAATGTCTTGGATGGAATAACACAGGAGGTTTGAAGAGGAACTGTATTTTTTGATATGTGCCTGTGCTTGGACCATGACAGAGTTTAAGTTTTGTATAAATGGCAAAATTCTGGAGGTCATAATAACAGATTTCTTCCACATAAGGAGGACTGGACATCATGAGCATTTGAATGGTTATGAAGAAAATTTAGGTGTTGGAGTGTGTGGTCATGGTTGGACATGTAGTGTTGATCTGTTAGAGCTGTTCAGTTTCTATAAGAATCTGTGGAACTGACAGCATTACCAAAGCGAGTACCAGAGTGCCATTCTAATCAAGACTAAGTGATAATATGAATATCTTACAGAACTTCTCACAACAAGAGTGTTAAATGTAGTGCTGTTGAAATCATTACTTTCTGACTGAAATCTGTTGAAGTCATCCCGCAGGACAACGGAGTCAGGTCATGAATGGTGTCCCCTATGGGTCAGTGTTAGCACTGGTCATTTTCAACATCTTTTTCAAGAACTTAGTGGGACTGAGTATACCCTCAGCAAGTTTGTTGGTGATACCAAGCTGAGCTGATAGAATAGAAGGAGGGAATGACATCCAAAGGGACAATCTTGAAAAGTGATTCTGCATGAACCTGATGAGGTTCAACAACACCAAGCGTAAGGTGTTGCACATGGCTTGGGGCAATCCCATACAGACTGGGAGAACTCCTTGAGAGCAGCCCTGCTGAGGTCTTGGGATTTCTGATAGACAAAGAACTGGACATGATCCAGCAGTGTGCATTTGAAGCTTGGAAGGCCAACGGTATAATGGGCTGCATTAAAAGAGGAGTGGGCAACAGGGCAGAGGAGGTGATTATCTTCCTCTGCTCTGCCCTCATGAGGCCACATTTGCATTGATGCATCCAGACTTTGGGGCCTCAGCAGAAATTTTTTGAGCTGTTGGAACAGATTCAGAGAAGGCCACGAAGATCATCAGAGGGCTGGAGTACAGAAGGCTCTGGGGAGATGTCACTGTGGCATCCCTGTGCTTAAAGGGAGCTTATAAACAGCAAGAAGACAGACTTTTTACGTGATGTGATAATGACAGGATAAAGGGAAAAGGTTTTAAAGTAGAAGAGGGGAGATATAGATTAGCTATTAGGAGAGAATTTTTGGTGAGGCGCTGGCCCAGGCTGTTCAGAGAACACCCATTTCTACAGGCATTCAAAACCACATTGGATGGGGACCTGGGCATCCTGATCTAGTGGGTAGCAACTCTGCCCACAGCAGAAGTGTTGGAACCATTTGATCTTTAAGATCCCTTCCAATCCAAGTCATCCTGTGATTTGGAAAGTCTGTCCATTAGTGAGAAGGGAAATATACTGTTCTATTCTTTTGTATTGTGGAGAGTGAGAGGTGCATCATACATGCATTAAGATATTTGAGACTTTATCAGCATGGAAGCTATAATTCAAGATCTTAATATTTACACATCTCTTTTCTTTACTTACAGCAGGGCGACAAGAAGGCAAGTGGAACTTCTTCCAAATCAGGAGAGAAAAAAGAAGCAACAGAGGTAAATTCAATAATGCAAATATATTAACAAGAAAAACTCGGTAATGTATTACATCTGATATAAATTTTTATCTTTTGATAGCATACTGGTAATTTTCAGATAAAACTGATTACCATAGTCACACAGTTTGTTGCAGGTATGTGCAGTTTTTTCTTAAGCTGCAGAGCTACCGGATGTTTTCTTTTTTGTCTCCTGCTTTTACAAGTTCTTCCATTTAGTATCAGTAGAAATGATCTCAGTGGATTTGTGTGTTCTGCAGTGCAGGTACACTTTGATACATATCTGATGGTACTGTCTTTTTGATTGTTGGGAAGCAGGGATAAAGTGGAGTGTTCTGTCACTTCCTTTCTTTCTTGTACTCTGGGTTTTCTTCCAAATGGGAATATTCATGCATAGATTTTTCACATCTGGGCCACATCTTGGCATATTTGCATATATGTGGTCAGTGCTGTATTTCCAATAGATATTACTTTTTGAAGATACGGCTTTTTCAGGAATGAAGCTTTCCTGTTCAAGAGTTCATGCTGGGCTATAATGTTGAGTTTACAGCAGGCAGTTTTATAGTCTGATCATAGAGGCTGTTGATGACAGTCAGAAACCGTATGGGTGCAGGCTGTGTTCGGAACAGTACTTTGTACTTCTCCCAGGAGGCCTAAATCCTGTTAGTCACACAGAGATATGTTATGTGCTATGGTGAGTCACTCTTGTGCCGCAGAAGAAAGTGTTGTCTGAGCCAGGATACAAGTGCCAGTAGTGATCAGTTCATTCCTCTCAGCTGATGCAAAATGGGAGCAGTACTTTTCCAAGGAGTGTTAGCAGCAGTTTTACAAAGAGAAGAATTCACATAAGCATCTATTACTTGTCTACTTGCTGCCTTCAAATATCAGTGTGTAAGGGAAGCTGGAAGTAAGAACATCTGATACTTTGGTCTTAACAGAAGCTATCTGGAAAAAGAACTTTGGGTAAGCTATAATACTGCTTTTAACTGCTCTGTCTATCAAGAGCAGTTATCATTTTATTACTGTCTTTAGAGGTAGATCATTAGAGCAGTTACCAATCTTTCCTGGTCAAATACCAAAAGAGGGGTGTCTATGCTGGGTGCACAATCCTTTTATCTCCAGACAGTGTAGTTTTCTTCAGCAGCACTATTCTTTTGTACATTCATAGTTTTATATCAGATTTTTTTGATTGCATGTTGTTGCTTTTAATATAGAAATGCTTTCCATTTTGTGGGACTGATGGGAATTGAAGTCTGTAGTTTGGATGGTGGAGTTACTGTTCCAAACTGGCAACAGAAGACTGTTAGTAAGTTTATTTCCCAGATGCTTTTGCTTTTACGGCAGTATTAAGCTTCTGATTTACATCTCTCTTCTAGAATGCTAACTTGAGTCTGTTTGTTTTCTGAAAACAAAACCAAGATGTGGCCTTAATATGTTATGCCCATTTTTCTTTAATCCTGGCTCTTCATAGTAGCCAGTGGTAGTTACTTGGAAGCACTTAGGGTGCACTGAATCTCAGTGCTGTTTCATCTGGCACAACAGAGAAATATTGTGTAATGGTTTGATAAGGATAAGTCTGTGAGGTCCTGCTCTACAGGGTCATATTCCTCTTGAAAGGGTTAATCTCTTTTGCTTCATTAATCGTTGTATGGTATTAAGGAAAAGACACCTTCACACTGAGATCCTGTTTCAACAATGCCTATTGAAATGCCTCATTTCAACAGTGCTGCTCAGGCTTCAAGGCAGACTGAATGATCTGCTTGCCTCAGGAGTGGTCAACTTTAGGTTAAAACATGCATCATCTTTTACTCTAATGATGACCAATGGAATATGTACCTTGTACAAATAAGTGCTTTGCTAGAAATGAGACAGCTGGAAAATTCATGTGTGTTAGAATGTGAAAGGAGATACAGGCAACTCTTTATCCACATGATCCAAAGATAACGTGCTTGTGTTATGGTTGTATTGAGCAGCACTCACAGACACAGATTCAGGTTACTGGTCATATGCCTTATCTCTTTGTGTCTTGCAGTTCAGAACCTTAAAATTGCTAAATTTTTGAAGAAGATCAGACACTGAGAATCTTAAGTTGGCCTTGAAATGTTTTCATTGCATGTGGATGTGTGTGTGGTAGACAATAGCGTAAAATAAATGATCATTGTTGGAACTAATGGTTGCCCATGCATTTTAATCTGTTTTATGCATTTGCAGCTGGGTTGTACCTGCCATGCTGCAGGACATACTGCCGTTTTCCCATTTCCATGCCTCTAGTTCCTCACTCTGTGAAAACTTGAGATGTTATGGTCTTGAATCAACATGTTTGCAAGATACCATTGCAAAATGTGAGAAATAGCAAGTATCTTTTCTTCTCCTTTCCTCCCAATGTTCTAAGTCTTTTGGTAGCTTTTATGTGCAGTTTTAGTATGTGAGAGACAACTCGCATAGTTTTTTTTACCTTTCATCTTAACATAATCTTCAAGCTTTTGTGTACTATTCCAGCAGTTTCAGTCACTTTGGAATCTGTATACCTTCAAGGAATTACTGCAAATGAATATTTTGGATGCTAGGTAAATAATTTTAAGGGGGGAGAGGAAAATTCACTGCATAGCGAATGATAGTTTATGAAACATCTTGAAATTAAAGATGCTGGGTTTTTATTAATCTTTGAGTCTGTGAGAAAGAGCATCAGCGTACATCTGAGCTATTTTTACATGGCTGTTTTTTGCTGTCTTTTATATCTACTATTTGCTGTTGTTCAGTAGAGGGAAATTGCTTGCCTGAATCTTGGGCTGGTCTCAGAAAGGTAGATACAGTGTTATAGTGAATTGCCTTGTCACACTGTCATGTTCTTTTTCTGTGTTTAATATTGCCACTTCAGAGTGATGCTCCTGGAGAGGAAGGGTTAGCAAAAGAATGCAACTCCTCATTTGGGAATCTCAGCTAAATTGATTCAAGCACAAATTTTGATCTTGCCCTAATCTCCTGTGAAGCATTCCAAAGTGTTAGGCAGTCTGATAAAATCTGTTGGGTTCAGAGTGAGACTTTTTTTACAGTATTGAGCTTTTCTTTTAATTATACTTTGATGTGAGACCCAATAAGCAATTTTGAAGTCTATGCATTAAATACAGCAATGCTTGTAGAAGGAACAGAGGTGCTGGATTAAAATTCAGATGGCATGATTCAGATTAGTTAACTTTGGAAAAAATCAGTTTTAGTGTATTTAAAGGTACATAAATATGACATTGTCCATTGCAGGCTGCAGTGTACTTTAGTACATATTCGCATGTGTAATTCCTGGTTTTGATGCAAACGCGACTGTTATGTGTGATAGCTGTTTGAAATACGCCTTCTCTGTTTTGAAGTAGCACATGCTGTTGTTACTAACTGCACAAAATCTGGAAAAAGCTGTTATCTTTCCATTGAGCGAAATAGAGTGAAATATCCAGGGGAGCTTCTGTGTCAGTCTAACTATGTAGTTATTGCGTTGCTGCTGTCTGAATGTGAAAATGAGGACTTCATGATCTTTCAGGTCTTTTCCAACCTGTGCAATTCTGTGATTCTATAATTCTATAAAAGGAAGACAGAGTAATATGTTTTAGGAATTTGAAGCTCCAGATTAGAGCAAAGATGTATTTTAACAGAGATGGTATGAAATAAGATCCATATGAGCTGCCATTTCAAGTCATGCTTTCAAGCAGTGTAGACAGAATATGTGCCACTTCCTTAACTTATTATTCTTTACTAAACAGGAAATGTTCCTTATTTTGAAAGCATGATAGCAATAACTGGCTTTGAAACACTATTGTTCTTTCCTCTAACAACAGGATTTCTCTGACATTTTAAAATCCTGATGCTGGATTTCTTATCCAAAGCAAACATTAGAGTTAGTTGGAGTCCAGGAACATTATTCTAAGTAATGACACTATGACTGGTAAAAATGTGGGAGGATGCATGTTACTGATTCAAATTCTGGAGGATCATGAATAACTTTGATGAGAGCATTTGTGAAATTTCTTCCTGCTTTGATTACAAGTCACTTATTTTAAACTATATTGTTTGTTCATTTTTTCTTTTTTTTCTAAGCCTAATGCTTCTTGGAATGCCAAATACAGTGTTTGCAAGTTCCTGGAATGCAGCTTTGCTTTAACAGTACACTAGCTTTCTGATAATAGTTTTATTCTTTATAATGGGAAAACACAGTCAATCAGTATGATGATGAAAATCATTAGATCATTTGAGGAGCTTAGGTTTTCACGCATTGCTCTTCAAAAAAAACAATCAGTAAAGAAAGATCAGTGTGCCACTTTAAAAAAAAAAAGTTATGTGCTGTTACAGATGAACTCATATTTTTATTTTAATTTGAAAAGTCACATTCTAGATAAGGCTTTTATATTCATTAAATCGTTAATAAGAGAAAAAAGATCGCTCTGCAGGATGGTATGGCTCTGTCTGCGGATCCCAGAGGGAACCTAGAAGATTGACATGGTCCAGCGCTGACTGTCAGGAGACATAGGGTGGCATTAGGGTAGTAATGTATTGCATGGATCGAACCTTTGTAGGAGGAGTGGTTCTGGGCAGTAGAGTAATGATTTGTTTCCCTATTTTTCTTTTCTGCTTTTTTTTTCTTTTCTTTGGCTGAGATACATCAGGTAAGTTTTGATATTTGTTGGAAGTTGTTATGATTCAAGACTCTGTCTACTCAATGAAGAAGTTTGTTGCTTATGTGATTCTTGAATCCAAAATTGGAAGCTGTAGGTTGATACACTGTTTGGAGTTGTTAAAAGCATTTCCTGAACAGAGATTGAATGTTCTTTCTTCATGTGATGATTTTTTTTTCATAAAAGAAAACTGCACTGTAGTTGTTTTTAGAGCAAAATTATAATGAAAAAATGAAATGGTGTAGCCCATCCTGAACATGTAATCAGTATTTCTGGATACCAGTATTGCTGCAGTTCTCCAGTGGGAAGATCTGCATGTCAGAGTGATAGACATTACATCTCC